ACGCTTATATACACAGAGTAAATTGCTAATGAACGCCGGCTTAGGGACTCGGGGAAAAGAGATTACAATTCGTAATTGGTACGCAAGGGCCTCAAGGGGTCCCGAGACGAGTGATATGTATTGTATGACGCGTATAGGATGGCTTTTGTGAATGCGGGCGCGTAGTCGACAAAGTTGTAATGTTTGTGAATATATAAAATAAAACGATCAAAAAAACCGAACACTTAGTCCCTTCGTACCTTCTCCTCGGAAGATATCCCAGAGAGTTCGACATTGTAATTATTATTCGTAACAAAATTGCAAAGACTACATCTTGTTCCTTAGGACACTTTTGCTCATATTCATAGTCAAGCCTTATCATGTAGCCTTATCATAAGCCTTGTATGTAAGGCTTTCTTAAATTTATCTTCAGATACAGTACGAATTATTTCATTAATTGCTGAGCATCTAAAGATAAATTTAAGGAAGCCTTAAGTATAAGGTCTGACTATGAATATGTGCATTAGAATACTAGACTACTATATAGATTACCGTCTTTCTTATATTACCAATGCGTTTGTATGTTTTTCTGCTTATCCACAAGTTTGTCTTACAAGTTTATGTTATTTTCTGAAAAAAAACTTTCATATTAATTTTTGCTAGTGGTTATACTTATCGATGTCGATGCCATTGTAATATTTTCGAACTCACATAATAGAATGTATTTTTACATGTAGAAATTATATTTAAAATAAGTTATTAATATTATTAGAGAGAATCTTGCAAGATAATATTATTAATTTATTACTTGTATAATTGAGTCTTACTGACCACCAATTGTATAAAATGATGTATATGATATAATAATATATTGATATATACAGAGTTTGGTAAAAATTATAACAATGCTTAAGGATTATAGATTTCTGAGATCATTTTGAACGAAAATTCTAATACCAAAATGTCGAGGCTTTTGAATTATAAGCAAAAAGCATTTCTAATAAATAAATAATTTTGCTGTAAGTTAATTCCATATGTTGAATTAATTCGAGCAATTAAATTAATCGTGAATTTAGTAAATTTGAGATCGTTTTTACGCTTCTGAAAATATTAAGATATATGCAAAGATTCCTGTTTACAAGAACGAGACTTAAACTACAAAGAAATTGTTTAAAAGACTTTGAGATATAATAGAAAAATCAGAGTTTAATTTATAACTCTAATGTTCGTATTAAAGGGAAAAGAAACTTTGTAGATCAAAATATTAATTATGCAATTCCGTGTACAGATATAATATTCAAATGGAAGAAAGGCTGACAATATTTATGACATTATTGGCAGTATTGGTTGCTATTGATATTATGAGAATCATATGGGACATATGTTTTAAGGAGACATGGGACTGATGCGAGGCAATCTTTTAAGCTCATTAGAAATATGATTATGACATAATTTATATGAAAGAACATGGTTGAATCGAAGGTAAATATAAAAAATATTTTGACAAATATTATTTAAAGCTGTGTTATTCGAATGAAATGTGACTAAATGTGTCTCGCCTTATTTCATCCTAACCTAAACGCTGTATTAAATTTGTTTGCATCGCATGTTCCAACATGCTTATCATAACTCCTACTCACTCTAACAAGGCTCGTTGGAGTGAATAGAATTATGGTAAGAGAAAAGCATATTGGAACATGTGATGCGAACAAACCTTTTGTTCTTATCTTTATCTTCACATCTTGTTTAAAATACAAAACATTTTCTTCTTAATAACTTAAGTGTTAAATTTAATTGTTCAAGTAACTGAATTGTGTTTCTTTGCAGAGAACTAACACTTGGTGTGTTCCCTCATTTGATTGCGAACCTGTAAATAAACCCTTAGTAAAACATACCAATAGAGCAGAATTAGATAAAACTTTGTTTGACAGATCATTTACGCAAAGTAATTTCAAGAAGAGAAAGCATGAAACCAGTTTATCAAAGCTGCTTCAGGCCTGCGAGCCTCAAAGACTGTCTGAATTGGCAATTAGTAAACAGAAACAGAAAGAAATCTCTAATTGGCTTCAGAACAAGGCATTGAAGGGACAACCTTCTATGTTGATCCTTTCTGGACCTTCTGGCTGTGGTAAAACTGCAGCTATAAAATTACTTGCCAAAGAAAATAGTTTTGATGTTATAGAGTGGATTACGCCGGTTGATCCGGTTGAAGATGAAAATAGTAACTGTCATACTTTCAAATTCAAGCTTCTTTGTGATATATAACTTGATTCATAATTTCGAATTGTTTTTAGAACACATAATGCGACAAGGAGACAGATTCGAGGATCACCTGATACGTGCAACACGTTATCACACAGTATTGGGTGACTGTTTAAAACAATTATTCCTTGTTAAGGATATCCCAAATGTTTATCACGAGGATTATAAAAGCTTCTTCGCACTCTTGGAGTAAGCAACACTTTGTCACTTTGTAATGAACAATTCAATGCTTTAATCAAATCATTATGTGATATATTTCTTTACAAATATCTAGAAAATATTTTCAAATGGGAAGAGAACCTGTGATATTCGTTTTCACGGAAACTGGCAATTCAAGACTGATGCACACTTTGTTTCCACCTGATATAAGGATGAAGTTTGGCATTGACATCATTAAGTGAATCAATTATAATTTCTGAAAGATCAAACGTCTCTCTGGTTCTCTTTAATTGTGATTTATTTATACAGTATAAACGCAGTCACGACTACCTCGATGAAGAACGTATTGAAACGAGTATCTAATATATTGAATTCCATTGCTGGTGACATGCTGCATGTCTCTCAACGACACATCGACGAGATATTGTCCAACAGCATCGGCGACGTGCGCAGTGCCGTTCTAAATCTAATTTTTGTTTCTCTCAGAGGTATATGCTCTAATAATTGAACCAATAAGTACGATTCTGCATTTTGTTTGTATGATTGTTAGTGCCCGAGAGACACGTGAAAAGCGAATGCGGGATTCGGGAGGAAACTTTGGGTCTACTACATGGCATCGGAAGAGTCATAAATCCGAAAAGTAATTAGATCTTATTTCTGGATTTGCCAACTTTCACAAATTGTGATTTATATTTAATATTTTAGGACAATCACATGGAAATTCTTTCAAATTTGTACACGATCCCGAAGAAATAGCAGCATTCTTCCAATCACAGTCAGTGGTATTCGTCAAATTTCTACAGGAGAATTATCTGAATACTATAAGAACTTTAGAGGAAGCCGCAGTAGCGTCTGATATATTGAGCTTGGCTGATGTTTTAAATTCTGAATGGCGTGTAAGTTCGATTAAATATCATTTTTGTTACGAAAAATTATTATTATTATTACATTCCTTAATATGATAGGATCGCAATTTGAATAAAGTTGCATTATCGTACTGCATCCGTGGTTTGATGTTGACGAATGAGAAGCCTGTAACTAACTGGAATCCAGTGAAAAAACCGCGGGATGATCACAGTAACATGCAAGTATCAGAATATATTAAATACTTAAATTATTTTAATCAATTATGTTCACTCATCATTGTCGAATGTATTTTATATTTTAACGTATAAGTACTTGCAGACGAAAATGCTTGGTGATGGCAGAAACGCGCTGTTATGAAGCTATAATTAAAACCACTCTGAAGGAGACAAACGAAGCATTGGATGAAAATGAGGAAATAATTATCGAAGAAGATTAGATATTGCATATCAAGTATTTTTTATATTCTGCCTTTTTACATAATCCTTTTTTTCTTTTGCTAGAAAATAAAAATATTAATATTTAAAAATTTATTACTTTAATTATATAAAAATACAGTTAATTAAATATTAGAATAAAATTAATTGAATAAAATTTGAAAAAGAAAACAAACTAAAATTAATTAAATACTAAATAATCGATCATAATAGCTGCACTGAACATAATAGCTGAACAGAAAATACTGATTAATAAATGCTTAGTGATTAATTCTTTAATATGATTGGTTCTTATCTTTAGTTCTTCGCTGGATATAAGCGTATGAACCAATCATATTAGAGAATCACTATTGGATGCATTTAGCGGATTCAACAGTTGAGTGAGCGCTTGCTATTATTGGTGTATTCTTTTAGATCCAATCAGAATTTTAGATCTAGAAAAATATTGGGTTGTCCAGAAAGTTCGTGCCGATGTTGAAGGAAAATTGAAACGCAGAAAATTTAAATTTAGTAAATTACATTTATTAAATTATATAAGTTAGTCGGCACGAACTTTCTGGACAACCCAATAAATCAATAGCAACTGTTGAATCTGCTGAATGCAGCCATTCAATAGGTACGTACTATGACTATAACTTCTCACTGAGCGATCACTGTGAGTTCTTATAAAAGCTCAATAAGCGGATTACTTAGTTCAGTGAGTGGTTTCTGAATACATAGGCTATGTATGCATTCAGGACGACGTTCGGCGTCAAAAAAAGCCTAATTTTATTGATTTTTGAAGTGATGTAGCTAAACTATACAATTACTCCAAATCGTTATCATACTTACACTATACAAAAAAATTGAAGGATTAGTTCGTCTTCAAAAATAGGTAGCCAGATATAGATAAATAAAAGTTATAATGAAATGAAAAAATATATTTTTTTTAATCTTGGATATGAGTATTTTTGACGAAGTTGCATTCTTGAATATTTACATATTTTTGAGGACAGACTAGGTAATCCTTTAATTTTTTTGTGTATCATGCAGATTGTTACGTGCGTAAGATTTATGGCAAAAAGAGACATGAAAATACATAATGTATCAGTATAATTTCTTGCATTTTCTTGTAGCCCTAAGAAGAATTCATTAAATAAATACAACTCATTTAATACTAATTATAATCTCTTTATTTCGTGATAATCCTTTTATTGTAAGTAATACATATTTTAATAGGATTATTAATTTTTGTTATTAGTTTGGAAGTAACAATCATAACTACTGTAAATAAGATTTTTCCTTTGAATATCATACTTTTCAATTTGTTTTTAAAAACAGAAGAGCGATTGAGTATGATTGATTTAAAATCTGAAAGGAAGTTCGAAGAATGTTAAATTTGAAATATATTATAATATAAAGTATATATTATATTATGTAAAAGAAATAAGAAGTGTACAAAATTTTACCGCCATAAATGAGGGCAAGGAAAAATTAAAATTTTTAAATGTAGCAATTTTGCATTCTAAATGATTAGCCATAATTATCAAGATAAATACATGTTTTATTGATGGCTGAAGCAAATACCACTTTTCGTGAAATGCTTTATCTGATATTTCCGTACTCTACAGTTTCCACAGAAGAGCAATATGCAACAAAAATTATATAATTACATATAAATCTATTATATATAAGTATATTATATTTAATATTAAATTTATTTATTTATATTAAATATAAAATACAATTCATCAAACTGTAATATCTAGTTTTCTGAAAATATTAATGTTATATGTCAGTACGTTTGCTAAAGCGAGAATTTTTAATTATATAAAAAAAAATAAAGAAGTTAGAAAAGTGCCAATTTTACTGAAGAGAATATGATAAAATTTTCTCATCAAAATATAATAAAATTTTTTAAATAAAATTATTTGAGGGAAAATACCACTTAAGCCTTTATTTTTGAATAACTTCTTAATGCTATCGAATTAAGATATAAAAAGTATTATTTATATTCTAGAAACCTTTTTCTGGAGACACAGTGTGACGGTCTTTGAGTGTCTTTTGGTGTTGAAACAAGCGCAGCGACATGTCATGAGACCGGCTATGTTCCTTTATATCAGCCGACAAATTGCAGCGCGAATCGAGATTATCGGTTCAATAATGATTGAATCCATCAAGTTTGATACGCTCGATAGCTTGCACTTCGCGATTTGTTAATAAGTGCTTTTATTTTTTCTTTACGTGTCTTGAGCAAAGATATAGCAACAATCTATCTATATTCTAATATCCTTTCTTACACTGAAAGAAAAGATTGGCTGAATATAGCATAGCATTTTTAATTAGCTGCAACAATCAATTTTTAGTTGCGTTAGTCTATTGAAATCGTCTATTGATTGACATTGCAGATAGACTAATGTAGGCCAAAAATTGGTTACTGCACCCACAATCAATTAAAAATATTACTATCTAAATTGCTGCAGCAGCCAATCTTTTCTTTCAGTGTAATTACATATTCATAGAAAGTTCGATTCCAAATACTCCGGAATAGTAAAAGAATCATTATAGAATATGCAAATGTCAATGAAATGTTCAGAATATTGCATGAATATTAATTGTACCACAAAAATCTTTCGTAAGCGAGCAGTACATGTCTCCACCGACAGAGCCGCGGCGGACATTTACTCATAAATAAGAATCACTTGGGAGAAAATATGGCTGATGATACATACAAAAACATAAGACAGTAAGACGTAAGCAGTAAGAAAATCGTAACATTAATTCGTTACTGGCTTTACTGTGATTAGCCAATTTGCTTATATAATATTGATCAATTTTTTACAATTTACGACTTACTTTATATTTTGTGATTCTTAAGCTTTATATGATGATTTTAATACTTTCTAGACAAATTAAAATTTTTTGAAAAACAGAATCAGATTCTGTAGCTCAAAAAACTACAGAAAGCATATCATTTTATTGCCGAAGATTGAAAAATTGACACTTCTTTAACATCCTTACAGTAATTTAGAAATTTTTCAATTTTACAGTTGTAAATCAAAAACAAAATTATCTAAAAGATAAATTATCAATTACCGCATTTATTAATTGTTGCACACAGGAGCACAAAATATACAGTTGCGCTAATGCACCTGATGTGTATATTATAATCGACATTGCTTCGAAGAACGTCACTTCTGCTAGCTGTAATTTTTATGTATTTGCTACTGCTTTGATTAAAAATCCTCAATATAAAATAGTTATTCAAACTTTTTATGTAAAATAAATTTTTATAAAGAAAAAAGAAAAGAAGGGAAGATAAGAGAGAGAGAGAGAGAGAGAGAGAGAGAGAGAGAGAGAGAGAGAGAGAGAGAAAGAGAATTAGTGGTAATAAATTATAACTCACGTTGCTTAGCAAGACACCAATAAAGCAGAATCGTAAAACATTATTTATATACATTACAGTAAAGGTTAAAGACAGTAATTCTTTTAGCATTGACATTAAGCTGAAAGAAAATGTATAATGTATTCTTAAAGCCCTAAATTAAATAACATAATAAAAATAGATTTAAATATAAACTTTATCAAAGCAAATTTAAAATACAATTTAATCGAATAATCTAATTATATAAAAACTAATTTGTCATATTACTTAATCATTATATTATATTTATGTTTTTTCTATCTACAATTATTAGAAACAACATACTTGAATAAACTTTGAGATACCTACTATATCACCTCATTGTGATATTGGCAGAGTGCTTTAATTTCTGTTTCTTTTTTTCGATAAGATGTAGAGAGATATCCTTTTTGATATCCATCTTCATTTTCTTCTTGAAATATCATTGCAATTTTTTCCGCAATGTATCGATACTGCGCAGTTATCATTAAAATCAAATGCACTGTGTATACTTCCGCACTAACTTTCTTTATGAACGAATATACCATGCCGAGCAGTATAAACAGGCCTCCTGATAGAAAGACTTTAAGCGGGAATGGTTGCTTAGAAAAACCAGCAGGTACTCTGTAATCTTCATAATAAAATAGATTCTTTTCGAATATTACTAAAAATGTTATAAGATGCCACGTTATTATCGACATCGTGCCAGTGGTCCAATAAAAATTAAGTGGGGCCTTTATCGGATTTAAAGTCTCTGTCACGATATTTTTCATAGTTTCATCAGCAGTATGCAGCATCCGATTCAGTTTTTGGATTAATAGAAGCATCAGATCTTTACGAGCGTAAATTCGCCAAATCATGAAAAACATTTCTATTGTTTCTACAAAGCAGATGAGACTGTCTTTTATAGCCTTCTCCATTGATACGTACATGCATCCAGGTATCATCATGATCGTTACAGCTATTTCTAATATCCATACAAAGACACTGTACATCCTCCAAAAGAACGAAATAGGTGAATCATGGCCGACCATCGGTAGCAGATTGCCCGTGAGCACATTCAACCAAACGTTTAAAGGATTCACGTTTTGAAAATCCATGCTTACGATGTTGTCAATTAAAATTGGAGAATTGAAAAAGTTACAGAGGTACCGTTTTTTTTCTTTTAAAAAATAATTTGTTACTAATACAAATTACCGAATTCTGAAAAGTAATACGTTATAGCTGTTTAAAAAAAGTAACTATAAAGAATCGTTCTTTTTAAGTAAATTTTTATATTAATTTTTGTAATTTTTTGCATTATTTTAAATATACAAAAGAATCTTATACATTTTTAACATTATTAAGTTATTTTATTTATTACACTATATAAACATCCACTTATATACGCTATATTATTTATAGCTTTTTATTATTAATTGATGTATACATTTGGAATCAAAATTATGGGATTAATATTAAGATGTGTTCACATCTTAATATTAATCCCATAATATCAAAACATTTTAATTTAATTCCTAATACAAATTTACACACATGAGTGTGAATAATTATCAGAAATAAAGATATATTCCAATCATAAAAAATAATCACACTGATTATTCACTGATTATTTAACACTTTTGGTCGGCTCATATAGTGATAAGTAAGTATAATGACATTATTGATATTATTAACCACAAATTATATTTTTTCGAGAATATCGGTAAATTCAATTTCGATAAACGCATTTCAATAAATGAGATGTGAATTTTATAGCGGTTCCAATGGAATCAATTGCGTAGATGATGTTTCCGCATTGAGAATAACCGCACTGTGATTGCTGTCGGAATTTTATGCACAATGAATAAGTCCATTTGTACTTGTTTTGACTTATTTTGACTTAAAACTCTCTTCGTCTCATTTTAAAGCGAAAGAGAGACAGGGACAGACAGATAGACAGGCAGGCAGAGAAAGAGAGAGAGAGAAAGAGAGAGAGAGAGAGAGAGAGAGAGAGAGAGAGAGAGAGAGAGAGAGAGTTTTAAGCTTGCTTAAAGTCAAAGTAACATTGATGCAATTGGGGCTTAATGGCTATTCTATCACTTATTTCTTCTTTGTCAATTATTTTCATTTTTTTTTGCGCTTGTACGTTAAAATAATCCTAAGTCTTTCTAAACACGTCTTTCTTCTGCGTTCGTGCCGCGTTTGTTAATTAAAGCGAATATGTCATTTATAAAAGTTTTCAGTAAGTGTACATTATGCCTTGATTACTTTACTTCTTCTTAAAGTAAACAAGCTCGGCTGTTGTTAAAGACATCTTTTAGACATCTTTTAGACATAAAATCTAAAAGATGTCTTTTAAATATCTTACGCAACATAAATATTATCTGAGAAGTAAAATAATAATAAAATAATATTTCGCTCACAAACCTTGCTTGTCCTATCATTGTGCTTTAGATCAGGATGCAGCGTCGGATGAACTTTCACAATGATAAACACAGTAGTTCTCTTAATGACTAAAATGATCCGACGTCCGGCTCTCTGAATGTTTCTTTGATTGGCGATGATCTTCTGATAGTTGCAATTTGTACAACCTCGTCAGTCTATTCCGTCAGCGTTTGATTGTCAATTTTATCTGGAGCAAATCCAGCTCGAAAGATCAAAAATTTTTGTTTGGAGGAATTGCTGATGGTGATAGCGAAACGAAATGCTCGTTCGTTCACATGCCGCTGCCTTGGTGATCGAACTTCGTCGCCAGTATTTCACTACGCGGCGATGATAATTAATTTGATATATAACTTAGCTCTTTATAGTTTAAAGGATTTATTGTAAGCGATTACAATTGTTATAACTTATTTTCGCTAGCCACAATAACGTTTTACAATAAAAAAAAATTAACTTCAATTGAATATCGAAAGAACTATGTCTTCTTGAGACCGCATCATTCGTTCGTCTACTCGACCGGCTATCCACATTTCTGATTCTTCGAAATAATTCGAAGTTGAACGAATAAGTCCAAATGTCATTAGTGGATCCCCGCTCGGCTCGATGTCTCCTCTTCGATACTAAGAAAAACGCGATGAATACCGAATTATCTCTTCTTTTCAATTTCTACTCAATATTTGATCTTGTATTAATACATGTCACATAGGATGTTCTGTTCTTTTCATTATGATTATAACGTTTTATCCTGTTATTATAGTGTGTGTTCAATATCGTCAATAACATAGCGTATTTCTGAATAAATAACGATTTTAAGAAATCCTCTCTCATTTGCTATTATCATGAAGTGATAGTTGAAAAATAATGTCGGAATGCCAAGTAATAAAGATATTTAATGTACAGCACTATTTTATTACCTACAAAGGTAAGTATGATAAAAGACTTTCTTTTCTCTGTATTTTACACATGTGTACACACAGCAAGCGAGCGAGAGAGAGAAAGAGAGAGAGAGAGAGAGAGAGAGAGAGAGAGAGAGAGAGAGAGAGAGATATTATCTTATAGGTCTCTTTATTTGTGCGCATAACTCAAGGGTTTTCATTATCGTGTACGCTTTTATTTGCTAAAAAAAAATATAACAATTTATTGCTATTTGAAAGTTATTTATAAGCGGCTACGAACTTTGAGCAATTTTCTTTTCCCTCAAATTTCTAGTTCCTTTGTGATTTACTTAATTATGCACTGTCATGCGATAGACATGTCACATTTTCTCACAATTATTGACTTATATCTTGCGGTCATTGCACAGGTGATAGTATCATATATCAATTCCTTATCAATTCAAAAGTGACACAGCTATAAAAGTTAAGTTTTTCAGGAAAAAGTTATTTTTTAATTTTGCAGAAAATGATTGACTAATTAAATATGTCATCTCTTTTCCATATCATTCTTGAAAAATTATCCTTTGAGTTGTAATAATTCTTTTTAAATAAACACCTTCTTTTTGAATTATGGTGATTTTTAATGAAGTTATAAGTAAGTTCACGTTTAATAGAGTAATGTTTATACTCAATTTATTATGGTATTAATTCGAAAATCATATTTTTTACCTGTGTTACTTTTGAAATAAGGTAGTGATAGAAAATAAATATTAATCCATAGTGTACTACATATAAGTCTCGAATATAGATATTACATATCTATATAAGTATTGATTTGAAAATGTTTTATATTTCCTTTCAGGAAAGTAGAAGTGTGATGTGCAGCAGTAAAGAACAACGAAGAGCAAGTAAGTGACTAATTCAACAAGTAAGAATAAATTTTCCCAATTTCTTATTTTATAAAAAATGCCCAAATTAAAAAATTTGAAGGTTAATGAGCGTGGCAATTTAAGATTAAATAATTTTCATTTAATTTATCGAATTTTTCTCGAATGTCGACACTACCCCGGAGAGTGATTGCAACAAACTATTAATTGTTTTATCAATAAATGAATTAAGCAAGTTCTAATTGAACTAGTGATTACGTACTAGTAATTTTTAAATTATTCATTAGCGCATTCCATATTACAATATAAATTTTACAAATGTTGTACAACAATTATATGATGATAATACATAATATTTAGGATAAATAAACCGTTTTTGTATTATCATCATATAATTCTTATTCTCCTTAATAAAATAAATGGAAATTTAATATAAATTTCAAAATATCGATTATATTCTAAAAATTTTTATGTGGTAAAAATTTTTTTTATAATTTCTTATATCAATGATTTGTAAGTAATTTCATATCACGTGTCGAATAAACATCTAATTTAGATAATCGGTTAATACAAAATATGCAAAGTACACTTAGAAGAAGTATTTAAAATAGTATCTTGTGTAATTTTACATGAATCAAATAGATTTGAAATAAAATTAAATCTTTCATGATATTGAATACGTGTTTGTACATTGTCACTAATTAATAAACTACAATACAAGAATAATTTATATAATGCATTGTAAGTTATTTCTG